TTCGGAAAAGATCAAGAAGTAACACCGTGCATTCATCAACTCTGGCATATTTGTCTTAACAGCCTATGTGACCATGTGACCTATGTGACCTATCTTAACTGACGAGGGACTGAAATGTACATACACTTATCTGACTTCAACGAAGGTTTGCCCTGCATGAACAGACAAACAAAAAAGGTATAAGTAATGAATTCCAAGAGGTAATTCATGCCATAAAAACATAATCCCATATTTTATAGAAACGAATGTCTGTATCATATATCATCACAGAATTCTCTAATCATCACAGAGATTAATCACAATATTTAACTAAGCGTAATAAATCGTCTACACAATTTAGCGTCGATAAACAAGAACAGTGGATAACGATCAAAATGAAGGCCAGAAAGCGAAAAGAAAATCCTAAATACTCTATGATTCATAACTATGCAACAGTAACTGCTCTTGAGAACACGGTATGGCTATTAGTTTCATTCTCGATCTCGAGAAGGACACTGATCATAAATTATAACCTGCAACTACCCATGACCAATCATGACGTTAGTCCTCATTAGACAGTGACAGTGTTTCAACTGAAAAAATATCAGGTCAAATTACCGACATTGGGCATTTATTTTAAACATGGCCACCACAAAAATAAAATCAACATCTTCAACAACATTTGGAACGAGTGTCGGATACAATTACTGAATGGAAGCATCTGTCCACAACCGAGACGGGAGAATTTTCGAACATAACTACAAATGAATTAAAACTGATTGTTTATAAATTAATAAGACGAACATCAGATATCATTAATCTTAATACTCTGTCCATGACCCTGACACTCTAGATAACGAAGACACCAAGAATAAGACAAAAATTACAGATGACGCTTGATATTAAGGATATTAAGAAATATTAAAATTAACTATAACCATCGTGCGAACTAAAAAGTTATAACGGTTATAACGAAGTAATATGATGTAATCATTCAACTTACAACACTTTAGTTTTATCTTTTCGCTATCCCATAAATGACAGATGACAACTGTCAAGGTCACTTCCGTAGAATTTAAATATAAAGCATTAAGCAACACATATCATAAACCGCGAATCCAAACAGCTCTGCTATCCAGGCTTTAATGTGGCTTAAATGTGTACGACAGCAACATTAAGCAACATACTACATAAAATCATGTAATGTAGACCTAAAAAAGGATTGTCGATTTCGCTGCCTGCTTTAAGTAGAAACTACTGTATAAATTAAAAATAACAACCGTTTGCAGTATATTGTTGTACTGCCTGCGGTTTCACTGCCATTGTGGAACAATGTGTAACGCCAGTCCGCCTAAAGCCACTCTGTCTTACCTTCAATCATTCTTTCGTTCTTTCTAACATCGACAGATTCACTCATTCCTCGATTCGTCGAATGATTGATTTACTCCCTAATTCAATCGCTGATTCATTCATTAGTTGTGCTTAACTGCTAATCTTTTCAGACTGCGGAAGCTACAAGTCTATGAGGCACATTTTGAAAGGCCATCATCCTCCGCCTATCGAACAACATGCTTAAACTTGCTTCCAACGCGAAAAATTTACTGTAATCAGACATTTAAATTTTATAAAAGAAGTTCTGAAAGACAAAAGGGTGGACCGCTTAACGGGCTAAATTCAATATTAAAAAGTGCTAACTTTTGATATATGAAACTTACTTTCTATTTAAGTCATCAAATCAAAATGTTTCCCATTTAAACTAGTGAGAATAGAATGTAAAACTGCCACTGGCCAACATTTGATAATCACTTAACCGGCCACTATTAACAAAATTATTACAATGACCAAAAGCACCAAACAAAAGATACAACAGCAAAAGTATAAAAAGCAACATATCTATGGATATCGCACTTGGAGGTTTTTCCGATGCTGTGCCCGGCTGATCCTTTTCGATCCATATTTCCAAGCACAGAATGCCGTTTTTATTTCTGACTTGTATTTCAAACCATAGAAAGAGTAAAAACAAAAGTTTGCAACTACTGAAATGTCGGCCTTTCTTACACTTACATAATGAGACCGTTGTAGCGAGGTTTGTGACGGGGCGATGATCTCAACTTCCGTATCGTCAATTAAGAGTGCCCAACTGTTAAAGGTGAAATCGACAGCATCGATGTGACAAGCATAGTCTCTACCCTTCTGTTTCGCTACCACTCATTTATCAGAGTGGTACTTATTCGTCAACCAGAAAGAAAGGCCCAGTGATTCTGCTCGGGGCTCGAACCCAGGACCTCTCGGTTCAGAGCTCAACGTAATATCGATCGAAGAGCCCCGGTCGGGAGAATTCCTTGCTCAAGGGAACGTTTGATAAAGACAGAGATTGCACACTGAGGGAATCGGACTCGGCACCTCCGGAGTTAGAGTTCGATGTTGACTTATTTTGCATCAAAGCGGACGAATAACACTCATGAATATAATTTGATGATGCTACGATTGAAATTAGCAAGAATTTATTAGAGCAAATCTACACATTTCCGCTACGCATTGTCAAAAGATCGATCCATCTGTTGCCTTCAGTTCTTGCACAAAGAGAGCCATATCAAGACCCGCGGAATGAGACACAGAGGTGATAAGCGAGCATGGTGCAAGCGAAAAGAAGGATCAATTAAAGCAAAATATCGTATGCTTAGAATATATTTTAA